AAAAGGAGGCTGGACGAACATCTGGCCGGGGTCATTTGACCCCAGTACTCTTTCCTGCCACGGCAGGGGGTCGGACTAGATGATCTCCTCAGGTCCCTTTCGACCCTACCAACTATGAAACATTTGCTTCTTAATGGAAGCCTGCAAAAAAAAAAACTTTGGAGATCTCATTCACATACCTTGGGCCTGTTACCTGGTTGGCCTGACAGGATATATTCTAGTGGTGTTGTCCAATCTGGCTTGAGATGATTCAGGCAATATTATCAATAGCAGGTAGCCAACAGGTTTTGCACACTGACCAGTACAAAGATATTTTTCAACTAGGAAAAAACCCTGCAAAACAAAGGTGAATGGATGTCCTTTCTCAGTTCCAGGAGACTGTATCAGTAAAGCACAAGAGGTAATTGCTCATATAATGGTAGTACTTGCTGATAGAGGTTTCTCATCCTTCAGCAACAATCAGGGAAAATTAATAATCTCAAGCACTAGATACAATTGGTCCCTCAAGGCTACAAGGGAGTGTAAGCAAATATTTGGAGTTTAAAAGCTTGGCAGCCCACGGCTGTCCCAGAATTTAAGCAAAGAATTGAGTATGGAGTCACACTCTAGACACTGAGACAAAATGTCCAGTGCAAACAGACTATTTTTGCTCTATTTGCCACAGTCTCTGGACATATTCTTAAGCACTTCATCCCCAAAGGACAAGATAGTTACAACAAACACACCATGCTACACATAACTGAGCGGATGCAAATCTCTTCCATAAAGTGTTTGGTAAATACTCCCATGACTATACTTCTGCATTTGATGTATACCTTTCACTTTGATTCCACATTTCTTCCTGTAACTATCAATGGAGCAGGTCCTGCTGTTCAGAGAAAGTGTTGTGTGTGCACCATTCCCTGTAAACTTATTTCAAGAGCATGACACATTTAAACAGGAGAAACAAGATGTCATGACCCAAAAGGCATGATTGTGTGTGTGCTTCGGCACCAGAATTATCCCCGCCAAGTTGCAGAGCATTGCACGGGAGAGTTTCCTGTAGCAAGAGGAAACCCCGGTGCAGGGACGAGTTTCCCGCCTTTTCTGCAGCTTCTTTTGCAGAGTGCATTGCTCAAGTTGCAAGAGGAATGCACGGTGCAAAAGAGTTCCCGCCCCGGTATGCAAATTCGTTCCCCGTGATTGGCTAGTGTTAAATTATTCACACGTGGCGGCTAACGATTGGCTTGTTAGCCGTATAAGAGGCTTGAGCAGTTTCCGCCCAAGCCGAAGAGGACTCCACATCCATCTCGTGGGGACTCTGGGTACACGGCAGGGTAATAGAAACCCTGTGTGAGATCCAGAGGAGCTTGGTGGCCTGATCCACCGCCCACCTCTTCCCGTCTTCGAACGCAACTTTTATAAGACGTATTTACGATTTCTATTTTGGTGGCTCGTTCACCCAGAGCATCCGGAGCTCTGCACCGTGGAGCCTAGCAACCTCCATGAGACCGTCTGTGTTGTCTGTCTGTAACTGCAACTCAA